TGTAATGTACAAACAATAAAATGTACTCATTTTAGTGTGTTTTTTTGAGTTATGAAAAATATGTACACTTATGTAATTATCACCAGATTACAACTATAAAATATTTTCTTCAGCCAAAAAAACAAAAAAAAAAAACAAAAAAAAACCCTTTTACCGTTTCCTTTTTATTAACCTCCTTTACAGACAATCACTGATCTTATTTCAGATTCAGCCATGCTGTTCTATGTATTAATAGTTTGTTCATTGTTATTATTGTTTTGTATTCCCTTGAATAAGTATTTAACAATTTGCTTATGTATTCATTATTTGATGGACTTTTTGATTGTTTCCATGTTTGGTTATTATGGATGAAGGTGCTCTAAGCATATCTGTAAAAGTGTTTGTGTGAACCTATGTTTTTATTTCTCATGGATCAATAAATAGGGGTGGAGTTCATGGGTCATATAGCAATTGTCTTTAAAACTTTAAAAAATGTATGTGTGTGTGTGTCTGTATGTGCATGTATGAAAGTATACAAGAATGTATATGTATATAAGTTTGTATTCAGAATATATAGAGTGACCATATGATCCAGCTGTTTCACTTCTAGGTATATACCTAAAATATCGAAGAAATGTATACACAAATATTCATAGCAACATTATTTATAATAGTCTATATGTGGAAACAGCTCGATGTCCGTCAGTTGATGAATGAATGGACAAAATGTGATGATGTATCTGTACAGTGGAGTATTATTTAGACATAATGAGTAATGAGGGGTACATGCTGCAACCCAAATGAAACTTAAAAATAATATACTAAGTGAAAGAAGCCAGACACAAAAAACCATTTATTGTATGATTCCATTTCTATGAAATGTGCATGATAGGCAAAGTAGACTAGTTGTTTTTAAGAGCAGGGGTGAGGGAGGAATGAGGCATAATTGCTAATGAGTACAGGGTTTTTTATTTTTTTGAGATAATAAAAGTGTTCTGAAATAAGATTGTGGTAATGGTTGCACAACTTTGTGAATATACTAAAAAGACTGCATCGTATACTGTAAACACATGAATTTTATGGTATGTGAATTATATTACTACTTTAAAAAATTTATTTGGCTGTACATGTAAGGCACATGTGTTTTACTATATGTAAGTTATACTCTAATAAAATAGCAAAAAATAAAAACATATACAAATGAATTGAACAGATACTTTATAAAATAACCTATGCAACTTGCAAATAATCCCATAAAAAGATGATAAAGTTAT